AAACTTTTATATGATGTTACAGTCTCTGTGAGCTCGTCCAGATCGGTGGCAGCATCTTCAAAAACACTCCAATCAGTGAGGTCGAAACAGACACTAGTCCATATTCTCTGCTCACATGCTCTGATAATAATAGCTTTGTGGGACTTACGTTATTTGGATAATAAAAATTTTTTAAAAGTCAGTGAAATCTGATTCTGTTGCAGTTTTTCTGTTGAACTGAATAAAAATAATATGTTGATATTTAATATAAATAAATTTTCTGTCCAATTGTATTGTTTTACTTTCAATAAATGTGTGGTTATTTTATTGGGCTTGTATTTTTCAAATTCAGTATCATTAAAATTATTGAGTTAAATTTAAAAAACTTTAAAAAATGTTTTATATTATTAAAAAGCATTTTTGGTTTTGGTTTTGGTTTTGGTTTTCGGCCAAGGTCATCCAGCATTTGACCCAGAATTTTCATTTTGGTGCATCCCTAAATATTTTTATTTATTTTTTTACACGAAATGTCTGAAATTTCTCAACTTTTTTATTATTATTATTATTTTTTTTAGAAATGAGAGTAGGAATACACTGACCCTAAAATGAGTGCTCCATCTCCTGGATCAAGCTGCAATCAACCCATGAAGAATCTGGCCTCTGTCTTCTGTGATGAAATAGTGGCCTATGACCTCAGGTAAGACACAAGTCATTTTAGCATTAGTGAGTGTTGTTGCATGGAACCATCACAGAGAGGCACAAAATAACTTTCTTGAGCCTTTACTGTCACTGATCCTCACTGGTAGAATGATCTTCCCTACCTTCCCAAACAGTAAAATTCCTTTACATTTTTCAAGCACTTGACTGAATCTTTTTTAAACTGCTTGATCTCTCGATCTTTCTAGTAATGTATGCATTATTTTTTTTTTTAAATCTTGAATCGTTTCCTATTCTTTCACTGTTTATTCTTTTCATCTCATTTCTAGACTGCACTCTGAACAGTTTTGAACTTTTATATTTCAGCAATTGTTCTGTTATTGCCTCCATAGGATGAATTTAATTTTATGTTCCTCATTTCTAATTACCTTTGGATGAAAGTTTCTGATAAAGCAATAAATGTAACTCTAAGGTGCATACATTTTATTCAGCATATGTAGTGCTCCAAAATGCTTTTTTGTTTGTCTTTTGTCAGTATCGGCAGTAGTGAGAGGCAGAGATCAGAGTCTCCAGAACCCAGCTGTGTGTCTGTGAAAAGTAACGCATCCATGATGGAACCCCTTAAATTCAGTGATGGTCCAGGGACCTCTAACCCTCCGTTAGTATAAACATTTGTGACCCTCTCTGTGAAATCCAGGCTAAAGTCTCAAAATCGAATTATGAGATAACAAGCATCAAAGTTTGATTTCAACCATTAATTTCCCTATGATTTCAATCTTTGACATGGTCTTACTCAGTCAGTAATAAAGATATCAATATTACATTTTCACAGAATGTTCTTTACCTTATGAAGGATGATTTTATATAGAAAACAGTAAATCACCAAAAAATTACTTTAGCTGGGTTTTCACAGACAGGGACACATTTACTTGCTAATTTACTGTAAGGTGCATTCATTTTATTCAGCATATGTAGTGCTCCAAAATGCTTTTTTGTTTGTCTTTTGTCAGTATCAGCAGTAGTGAGAGGCAGAGATCAGAGTCTCCAGAACCCAGCTGTGTGTCTGTGAAAAGTAACACATCCATGATGGAACCCCTTAAATTCAGTGATGGACCAGGGACCTCTAACCCTCTGTCAGTATAAACATCTGTGACCCTCTCTGTGAAATCCAGGCTAAAGTCTCAAAATCGAATTATGAGATAACAAGCATCAAAGTTTGATTTCAACCATTAATTTCCCTATGATTTCAATCTTTGACATGGTCTTACTCAGTCAATAAGAAAGATTTCAATATTACATTTTCACAGAATGTTCTTTACCTTATGAAGAATGATTTTATATAGAGAACAGTAAATCACCAAAAAATTACTTTAGCTGGGTTTTCACAGACAGGGACACATTTACTTGCTAATTTACTGTAAGGTGCATTCATTTTATTCAGCATATGTAGTGCTCCAAAATGCTTTTTTGTTTGTCTTTTGTCAGTATCGGCAGTAGTGAGAGGCAGAGATCAGAGTCTCCAGAACCCAGCTGTGTGTCTGTGAAAAGTAACACATCCATGATGGAACCCCTTAAATTCAGTGATGGACCAGGGACCTCTAACCCTCTGTCAGTATAAACATCTGTGACCCTCTCTGTGAAATCCAGGCTAAAGTCTCAAAATCTAATTATGAGATAACAAGCATCAAAGTTTGATTTTAACTAAAATAAAGCTAAAATAAAGTACTTTTTATCTCTGTGAAATCCAGGCTAAAGTCTCAAAATCTAATTATGAGATAACAAGCATCAAAGTTTGATTTTAACTAAAATAAAGCTAAAATAAAGTACTTTTTATCTCTGTGAAATCCAGGCTAAAGTCTCAAAATCTAATTATGAGATAACAAGCATCAAAGTTTGATTTTAACTAAAATAAAGCTAAAATAAAGTACTTTTTATCTCTGTGAAATCCAGGCTAAAGTCTCAAAATCTAATTATGAGATAACAAGCATCAAAGTTTGATTTTAACTAAAATAAAGCTAAAATAAAGTACTTTTTATCTCTGTGAAATCCAGGCTAAAGTCTCAAAATCTAATTATGAGATAACAAGCATCAAAGTTTGATTTTAACTAAAATAAAGCTAAAATAAAGTACTTTTTATCTCTGTGAAATCCAGGCTAAAGTCTCAAAATCTAATTATGAGATAACAAGCATCAAAGTTTGATTTTAACTAAAATAAAGCTAAAATAAAGTACTTTTTATCTCTGTGAAATCCAGGCTAAAGTCTCAAAATCTAATTATGAGATAACAAGCATCAAAGTTTGATTTTAACTAAAATAAAGCTAAAATAAAGTACTTTTTATCTCTGTGAAATCCAGGCTAAAGTCTCAAAATCTAATTATGAGATAACAAGCATCAAAGTTTGATTTTAACTAAAATAAAGCTAAAATAAAGTACTTTTTATCTCTGTGAAATCCAGGCTAAAGTCTCAAAATCTAATTATGAGATAACAAGCATCAAAGTTTGATTTTAACTAAAATAAAGCTAAAATAAAGTACTTTTTATCTCTGTGAAATCCAGGCTAAAGTCTCAAAATCTAATTATGAGATAACAAGCATCAAAGTTTGATTTTAACTAAAATAAAGCTAAAATAAAGTACTTTTTATCTCTGTGAAATCCAGGCTAAAGTCTCAAAATCTAATTATGAGATAACAAGCATCAAAGTTTGATTTTAACTAAAATAAAGCTAAAATAAAGTACTTTTTATCTCTGTGAAATCCAGGCTAAAGTCTCAAAATCTAATTATGAGATAACAAGCATCAAAGTTTGATTTTAACTAAAATAAAGCTAAAATAAAGTACTTTTTATCTCTGTGAAATCCAGGCTAAAGTCTCAAAATCTAATTATGAGATAACAAGCATCAAAGTTTGATTTTAACTAAAATAAAGCTAAAATAAAGTACTTTTTATCTCTGTGAAATCCAGGCTAAAGTCTCAAAATCTAATTATGAGATAACAAGCATCAAAGTTTGATTTTAACTAAAATAAAGCTAAAATAAAGTACTTTTTATCTCTGTGAAATCCAGGCTAAAGTCTCAAAATCTAATTATGAGATAACAAGCATCAAAGTTTGATTTTAACTAAAATAAAGCTAAAATAAAGTACTTTTTATCTCTGTGAAATCCAGGCTAAAGTCTCAAAATCTAATTATGAGATAACAAGCATCAAAGTTTGATTTTAACTAAAATAAAGCTAAAATAAAGTACTTTTTATCTCTGTGAAATCCAGGCTAAAGTCTCAAAATCTAATTATGAGATAACAAGCATCAAAGTTTGATTTTAACTAAAATAAAGCTAAAATAAAGTACTTTTTATCTCTGTGAAATCCAGGCTAAAGTCTCAAAATCTAATTATGAGATAACAAGCATCAAAGTTTGATTTTAACTAAAATAAAGCTAAAATAAAGTACTTTTTATCTCTGTGAAATCCAGGCTAAAGTCTCAAAATCTAATTATGAGATAACAAGCATCAAAGTTTGATTTTAACTAAAATAAAGCTAAAATAAAGTACTTTTTATCTCTGTGAAATCCAGGCTAAAGTCTCAAAATCTAATTATGAGATAACAAGCATCAAAGTTTGATTTTAACTAAAATAAAGCTAAAATAAAGTACTTTTTATCTCTGTGAAATCCAGGCTAAAGTCTCAAAATCTAATTATGAGATAACAAGCATCAAAGTTTGATTTTAACTAAAATAAAGCTAAAATAAAGTACTTTTTATCTCTGTGAAATCCAGGCTAAAGTCTCAAAATCTAATTATGAGATAACAAGCATCAAAGTTTGATTTTAACTAAAATAAAGCTAAAATAAAGTACTTTTTATCTCTGTGAAATCCAGGCTAAAGTCTCAAAATCTAATTATGAGATAACAAGCATCAAAGTTTGATTTTAACTAAAATAAAGCTAAAATAAAGTACTTTTTATCTCTGTGAAATCCAGGCTAAAGTCTCAAAATCTAATTATGAGATAACAAGCATCAAAGTTTGATTTTAACTAAAATAAAGCTAAAATAAAGTACTTTTTATCTCTGTGAAATCCAGGCTAAAGTCTCAAAATCTAATTATGAGATAACAAGCATCAAAGTTTGATTTTAACTAAAATAAAGCTAAAATAAAGTACTTTTTATCTCTGTGAAATCCAGGCTAAAGTCTCAAAATCTAATTATGAGATAACAAGCATCAAAGTTTGATTTTAACTAAAATAAAGCTAAAATAAAGTACTTTTTATCTCTGTGAAATCCAGGCTAAAGTCTCAAAATCTAATTATGAGATAACAAGCATCAAAGTTTGATTTTAACTAAAATAAAGCTAAAATAAAGTACTTTTTATCTCTGTGAAATCCAGGCTAAAGTCTCAAAATCTAATTATGAGATAACAAGCATCAAAGTTTGATTTTAACTAAAATAAAGCTAAAATAAAGTACTTTTTATCTCTGTGAAATCCAGGCTAAAGTCTCAAAATCTAATTATGAGATAACAAGCATCAAAGTTTGATTTTAACTAAAATAAAGCTAAAATAAAGTACTTTTTATCTCTGTGAAATCCAGGCTAAAGTCTCAAAATCTAATTATGAGATAACAAGCATCAAAGTTTGATTTTAACTAAAATAAAGCTAAAATAAAGTACTTTTTATCTCTGTGAAATCCAGGCTAAAGTCTCAAAATCTAATTATGAGATAACAAGCATCAAAGTTTGTTTTGAACTAAAATAAAGTTAAAATAAAGTACTTTTTATCTCTGTGAAATCCAGGCTAAAGTCTCAAAATCTAATTATGAGATAACAAGCATCAAAGTTTGATTTTAACTAAAATAAAGCTAAAATAAAGTACTTTTTATCTCTGTGAAATCCAGGCTAAAGTCTCAAAATCTAATTATGAGATAACAAGCATCAAAGTTTGATTTTAACTAAAATAAAGCTAAAATAAAGTACTTTTTATCTCTGGGAAATCCAGGCTAAAGTCTCAAAATCTAATTATGAGATAACAAGCATCAAAGTTTGATTTCAACCATTAATTTCCCTATGATTTCAATCTTTGACATGGTCTTACTCAGTCAGTAATAAAGATATCAATATTACATTTTCACAGAATGTTCTTTACCTTATGAAGGATGATTTTATATAGAAAACAGTAAATCACCAAAAAATTACTTTAGCTGGGTTTTCACAGACAGGGACACATTTACTTGCTAATTTACTGTAAGGTGCATTCATTTTATTCAGCATATGTAGTGCTCCAAAATGCTTTTTTGTTTGTCTTTTGTCAGTATCAGCAGTAGTGAGAGGCAGAGATCAGAGTCTCCAGAACCCAGCTGTGTGTCTGTGAAAAGTAACACATCCATGATGGAACCCCTTAAATTCAGTGATGGACCAGGGACCTCTAACCCTCTGTCAGTATAAACATCTGTGACCCTCTCTGTGAAATCCAGGCTAAAGTCTCAAAATCGAATTATGAGATAACAAGCATCAAAGTTTGATTTCAACCATTAATTTCCCTATGATTTCAATCTTTGACATGGTCTTACTCAGTCAATAAGAAAGATTTCAATATTACATTTTCACAGAATGTTCTTTACCTTATGAAGAATGATTTTATATAGAGAACAGTAAATCACCAAAAAATTACTTTAGCTGGGTTTTCACAGACAGGGTCACATTTACTTGGTAATTTACTGTAGTGTATCACAAATTAATAATACTTTAAGAAACTTTAATGAAACAACACTAAATGTATTCCAAAATATGCAACATACTAAACAGAAGTGCCTCCCAAAATCAAAGTCATATCTGGTAACTGTATGTTTTATGAAGGTCTTCAATAGTCATTGTAATCACTGTCATTGTCTTTTTGCTGCTATTGTCTTTTCTATTTCAGCAGGGGAGAGATATATGATCTGAACAAATCTTTACCATACTCTGCATCCCACTATCAGCACCATATCAGAATGAATACAAGTGTTTCTTACCTTCTGACCCACAAAAAAACAATTCATAAAACACACGGTCTGTTGGAAGAGACTGAAGCCCTGATACAGGATTCTCACCAATCAGTAGATGATGTCCTTCAGAGATTCAAAGACCAGCACAAAACCAGCATGAAAAACAAGTATGAGAGATTATCTGAGGGAAACAAACAGGAGAATGTAACCCTCCTGAACAGGATCTATACGCAGCTCTACATCATAGAGGGAGAGAGTGAAGGAGTGAATGAAGAACATGAGGTTTTACAGATGGAGAAAACAGCCAGAACACAACACTCACAAGACACTTCAATCTACTGCAGTGACATCTTTAAAGCTTCACCTGAGCCAGGATGTGAGGAGAAAGACCAGATCAAGACTGTTCTTACTAAAGGCATCGCTGGAATCGGAAAAACCGTCTCTGTGCAGAAGTCCATTCTGGTCTGGCATCACTAATGCACAATCATCATTTAATTAGTCACTTAATTATCTCATTAACTTTAACTCTTTGAGGACTTGGGATTTGACTTGAGACTCGTTTGTGATTTGAAAGGAATGACGTGGTTCCTCCTCTGGTGAAATCAGCTGCTGAGTTCATGGGTGGAATAAACATATGGCAGGACTTTTACTTTCTGACCCCTGGATTGTCCGCCTCTGCATGTAATTAATTTCTTCATTTTTTCAATTCAAAAGTTGATAATGTTCGTAAATAAATTTCCGTTTCACCTTTTTCTACTACCTCATGTCACTGTACACCTGAGTTCACTGGTTTTTTTTCTTATTAACTTTCCTCAACTTGATACGGGAGGTATCTAGCATGAAATCTACCACTTCCTTGCTTGATCCTATTCCCACTAGCTTATTAAAGGGGTCATATGACGTTGCTAAAAAGAACATTATTTTGTGTATTTGGTGTAATGAAATGTGTTTATGCGGTTTAAGGTTCAAAAAACACGTCCAGCCGGAGCGACGAGGCAAAAACATGAAAACCCATTATAAATGAGGCATTTGTTGCATCCAGTGGGGACATAATTAATGATTATGATGACTTATACTGTCTTTTTACACGTTGCGTTGCATATCACACTGCGTAAACATAAAACCATGTCTGTATTTGTGATCGGAGAAACGACAAACAACAAGCTCTACTCTACACTGCTCATCGCATTTGATTAAATCGTCAGTGGCAAATTCTTTAAATAT